AGCTGGAGTGTGTGAGGGATAAGACCACACCTGTTTGATGTGATACCATCTGGTGGTTTCCATGGCCTTAGACAGGAAGTTCTAAGCCCTGGAAGTGCTCTCGACCACCTTGGTCCTCTCTGCACATTACCATGCTCTAGAAGACCCAGAAAAGTTATCCCATTTGACAATCTGCTCTTCCCATTGTAGGCTGTTTTAATTTTTGTTGTTTTATTAATATAAAAACTGCAAATGGAAAGGCTTTAAAAACTTACCAATAAGTATGTAGAATGTTTCTCCCATAAGGGTTGAGTTAACCAGAACTCCTCCSATCTTCATAAGGTCACTGTAATAAATATCGTTGGGCCACTTCACTCGTAAGTTGATATCCTAAAGGAAAATCTGCACATTAATGAAGCAATCAAGGACACAGAGGGATCAGATGGAGTCATTGAGCTGAAAGAAGATGAGCAGAATGCTCCTGAAACTACTGCATCAGGGGCCTCGCCTGGKCCCTTCTCCGTTTTCAGACAACTAATCACTTCTTGGGGACAATTCAATATTAAAGCAGCTCTTGGGGCCAGAAGGTGACAGACCTAGAGAACATACTTAGCATAAACCCCAGAACTCTCCCCTTCACCCCATCACTGCTTTTCATCATCAAAGACACTTTCTGAAGATGCCTCCTGTGAGTCAAGTTCATCAATCACCTCAGTATCAAGAGCCTCCAGCGAGGTGTGCCTATCTCGTGCTAGGTGCAGGGGGCAGGAAGAGAAGGCACTCTCAGGGTTCACTCCCTTCAGAAGATGGTGCTCAAGAAACAACATGCCCCTGAATTACCAGCATCATGAATGTTGATTCAGGCCACATTGTTGAGACACTGTAGAAGTGTCTTGAGCAGAATGCTATGAAGACCCAGAGGAGGGACTTGTTTTACTGAGTTATTAGAGAAAACCCTGAAGATCTGCCAACAGTCAACTTGGACAACAGAAGTGGACTTGTCATGTGGTCCGTTGCCACTCCATCTTGGGGATCTGTTTGTGCCCTGGTCACGGTAGAGTGGACCAAGAGGAGATACTGCTTTGAGCGAGCCCACCCGGGCCTTCACCTCCCATATGAGCAGAGACGGGACTAGACCGTGTGGACGTCATAGCCACCAGGCTCAGACCTGAGGCTGGCAGCTAGATCTGGCCATGTGGGGTAAAGGAGGGTCCTCTGGGGACCTGAAGCTGGGAAAGAGACACTGGGCACTATGAAGCCAGAGACCAGAGAGCAGCTGGTGGTCTCCAGGTCCCGCGGGGCTCATCATCCTGTACTGTGTCCCAGGCACAGCACCAAGCCCCTTCTCAGCTCGAAACTCGCCTGCTGGGACTAGTCTCGTCTGTATGGAAGAGATGATGTGGCTGTCCGAGGTTCCAGCACTTGGAAGTGCAGAGCTGGGGTTCAGACCAGGCCTCCCCGACAGCCAGGCCTGGGCTCCAACACTGCGTCGTGGGGCCTGCTGCTCCTGTGAAGCCCTCCTTTCCGACAGGCTCCTTACCTCCCCTGCTCTAGAGGCTCTGCAGTCCTAGCACAGCAGCCTGGGCTGAGAGCAGAAGTGCAGGAGCAACCCAAGCACCAATAGGACGTGGGGTGCTCACCACGGGACCTTTCAATGACAAGGACCTTTATGTCTCTTTTCTGCCTCGAGTCAGGGTTCTCAATGTGGGGAGGCATCTGGCATCCTGGTTGTCACAGCTTGAGACCGTGCACTGGCATCTGGTGGGCGAGGCGGGGCTGCTGCTGCATGTCCCCTCAGGCCAGCACTGCCCGAGGACAAATATGTCAGCAAATTATCAACAGGCCTAAGGTTGAGAGGCTCCTCTAGAAAACCTGTGAGCTGGAGACTTGAGCCTTTGTCACTCTCCCAATTCTCCAAGGGATTCTTTCTCTTCTCTTCCTGCCACCTGTGTCCCCACAGTGGCACGGTCAAGCCTCTGCCTCCACAGGAGGACGAAAGAGTTCCCATAGCTCAGACATGGCTCCTCTGCCTGGTGGGCGGCAGCTTTTCTGAGCTGGCCCTGAGCACCAGCTCTGGCCAGGCTTCATGTTTTCCGATTTTGTTCGGGAATGAGGCAGCTTAAGAAATTCTGGGTTCTCATGAGGGCAAACAAGAACGTCTATCCCTAGACGAAGAGACAGGCCACATTCTCAGTTTTTCTTTTCCCAATCATTTATTCAAACAGCTGCTGTGATCCTCCTGCGGCTAAAGCAGTGTGCTCGGTACTGGGGGGACCCAAGGTGGAGGAATCCTGCCTTCAAAGAGCTGGAACTTCGTGGGAGACAGAACAAGAGCCCACATGACTCTGCTTCAAAGCAATGTCATAGAAGTGTTTCAGACACTCAAGGTGCTCTCAAGCTGTGGAAGGAGTGACCGCTGAGACACTCGGGGAAGGCACCTCCCTGAGCTGGGTCTTAAAGGATGAGCAGAAGCTCAAGATGCAGAGGAGACGGAGGAGCAGGGATGGGGGGAGGGATGGGCAAGAGCCCAGGCAGACGTCACAGAGAAAAGGAGCAGAGGGAGCCGGAGCAGGC